GATTGGCTTCCCCGAATTTCCAAGGATTCAAGGCCGGGCGGGGGGCAGAGCCTGGTGTGACGCAGCTCCCTCTCTTGTCTAACCAGACACCCCCTCCCCAAAAAGAAGCCCTAAACCAGGTGCAAAATAGCAGCAGTGGGAGAAAAAAACAAAAAGTAGACGTTTCAGATTAACATTCTCAGCTTTGGACTACAGTGGCCGAGCTTCAATCTCTAGAGTGGCGTTTCTCACCCTTGGCCACTTTGAGTGGACCAACTCCCAGAATTCCCCAGCCAGCATGGGGAATTCTGGGAGCCGAAGTCCACCGATTCTTATAGTGGCCAAGGTTGAAAAACGCTGCTGTAGACCTTGGGAGAACCACACCTAGATTCCTTTTTTTTTACCATGATTTCTCTTTTCCCAGGATATCAATCCTTTCAGATGCTACAGTCCAAAAAAAAATAAATATAGCACACCAAGAGTAGGAAAGTTGAAACCAACCCTCCAAAAAACTAGAGTATTTGCATCTCAAGAAGCCCTCTCTGGTCAACCATACATTGAATAAATATATGAAACCATAAGATAAGCTCTAGAAGCCATTTTGGCTTGAACAGCCCCCCATGTGGCCCAAAAAGATTTGGGTCCCAATCCCCAAATTGTTTGGTTGACTTTGCTGTTAGATTATTTTAGTCTGTTGGATTTAATGGATTTAACATTTTTAGCTGTTTTTGTGTTTTCTAGTTTTGTACGCCGCCCAGAGTCCACTGGAGTTGGGCTGCCCATAAATTTCAATAAATCAATCAAAATAATCCAGCCCTTTCCTTGCAAGTGAGAAAGTGGTGCTGTGGGGTTTTTGCAGAAGATGTTAGATGAAAGGAAAAAAGTTTTCATTCCAAAGGGTCCCAGCTTGACTCTTGGGATTTTCAGGGTTTTCAGAAATGAGGAAAGGCTTCAATTGACAAGGCTGAGCTGACTCTTCAATCCACAGGCAAGAAAAGCAGCAGCTACATGGAGTTTCCCTCCTTCTTCCTGATTTTGGTGCCACGTCCTAGAGACCAGGAGCAGCAATTATAGGCTGACCCTGCTCTCCAAATGAGGACCTTCTCTGAAGAAAAATCAGGCCAAAGAAAGAGGATTTGCGCCATCGTTTGTTTTCCTCTTCCCTCACCAACCTTTCCTCCTTTTGTATCTGGTCTATTATGCAACTACCGTTTTACACTTTGGCATATCTGTAAGAATGCCTAAAAAGCATTCTGTAAAAGTATTCGAATAAAAAAGGTCGATTCACATCTCTAATATTAGAAAGGAAAGCAAGCACTCATCCATTTAAAACACCTACGTTGTAACAAGGTTTGGGAGAAAAGATCACTTTCCTGCAGATCTTCAATTCTGTAGCATTGATTTCCAAGGCTTGCATTGCTAATCACTGTACTGAATGCCTTTAAAAAAAAAATTCAGGATGACTTTTATCCTAAGTAACAATACAAAACACATCAAGTAAGGTTTCAGTGCGCTTCACGGAAATTGTCAAGGAAGAAAAAGGGAAGAAAAGGATTAACACCAGGAGGAAGAGCATAAATCTTTATTGGCTAGCTCCCTAACCAAATAGGGAAGAATCAGAAGGAAGTCAACAAAACTGAGTTGCTCAATTCAACAATAAAGCCACACACTTCTCTTCTGTCTTTACCCCCCCGTTAAAAGGTACCAAATACCCTTTAGGAATAAGAAAAAATATTCAAATGGCATCTGCAGGAAACACAGTAAAAGCCCAAACTTCCAAATTCATTTTCAACATTCCAGCTTCTTCAGGTAGATGCTAACATCAAACTGGCATGCCACCAAATCACCACGAGCCGAATCATCACCAGAAGTCATCTTTGCAAAGGAACAATATTGCAACTGGGGACCGGGAGGAAATAGGAAGAGAAAAAGTAAATTAAACCTTCAGTAATTATCAAACAGTACAAGCACCTCAGCTTTGGTCCCTCGCCGAAGCGAAAGAGAATTTACACAAATAAAGATACAGGGAGGCACAATTCTGGGGCTGTTTCTTGACTGTTAGAACGTTAAATGGGTCAGGATGGAAACCTTTCGATTGTTCTTCTACCTTCACAAAAGCCTGTCTGAGCATCACCACCTAGATGCAAATTCATCCTCTGAGCACAAGGACCAGCAGCAGCAGACAGGAACTTCTCAGCGGCGATGGCCAGAATTTGGAAGATTCTTCCTTTTTCCACTCTTCCTTTTTCCTGAGAGTTTTACTATTGGGGATTGATGGGAGCGGAGGAACTAGAGGCTGGTTACAGCTTCTCCTGAGCATTCATTGTTGCCTCTGGAATTTCGGTCACCAAAGCATCTTTTTGAGAGCTGCTCTATTTGGAAAGGAGCAAAGAGTCGAGGGCCGGGTTGAAGTTTTGGAACGCTTACCCCAGAAGTCCTTTTCCACTCCAGCGCTTTGGAGTGAGCCCGAGATGGAATTTTTCCCCTCTTCGGATCACAGTCACGCTTAAGGGTTTCTGGGGAGAGAAGTATAAAAAAAATAAAAAATCCTTATTGTCTCGCCCATTCAGTTTGGTTCACTAATGCAGGAAGAGAGGAGCTACTGGCTCCATCTTCCCCAGTGTCAGATGGCCAGAGTTCACCCCTAAAACATATTATGGGAAGACTGGGTGCAAATTTACTTTTTCACCACCGCCGTAACTGCGAATGGTCACTAAATAAGGCCATTGCTAAACAAGGACTACTGACGAACATCTATCCGCTGCAGCAGCTATGCAGAATTGCATCTTCGCTGTTGGAGCAGATCGCACAAGGGGGCCCTTGCTAAACAGGAATCCCTCTTGGATTGTTGTTTGGAAGAGGAAGAGAGGGAGCCACTCGGCTCCTGTTTTAACGACAGCAAGAGAGGTAGTTTGATTCAAGAGAAATGGCCGCTCTTGATATCTATGGCAAACGTTGGCAATCGAGCGCCCTCCTGGGATTGCTGTCCCTTGGCTAAACGGGTTGGGGTTTCATTGTCTCCTAATATCTAGAGAACACCCAGCTGCCTGGGCCTGCCTTCTGCCATCCTTTCAGAAGAACGAGAATGCAACTGGCAGAATTCACGGCTGGCACAGCCTGGCAGCTCTGGGAATTCTCATTCAAAACGTCCACAGGGTAGCGGACTGAGGAAAACTGCACTGGCCATCAATAATTCAGGGGAGCTGTTCTGGGCCTGCGGGATTCTCAAGGTCCACCTCTGAGTTCCCCGGAGGGGCAAACGCCAGCCCTTCCGGCCTCATTCCAGACCCGCCAAGAAAGCAGGCTGCTCACGTCCTCGCTGTGCTGTACCACGGTGGCGATATTCTGCAGCGACTGGAAGTTGCGGCTGTTGACGGAGCCAAACTCAACTATCTCGTCGTCCACTTGCAAACCCTTCGGAAAGAAAGCAAAATTACCCCTTTATCCCTCTGGGGGAGGGCAGCTTCGGGTCACAGAGAGTGCCAAGGTCTTGTACAGATTAAAAAACGCTGGGCCAGTCGCTTTTTCTCCGGCCAGCCCACCTGGCAGGGCTGTTGTTGTAAAGATGAAAGGAGGAGGCAGGTAAGAGTCTTTAACTCCTTAGGCCAGATATGACTACAATTAAGAAGAAGGAATGCCTCCAATAAGGGCTCCAGGATGAGAGCGCCGGTACTTGCCGAGAAGCTGGCCGGGGACCCAGGGGTGACAGCGTTCACTCGGGCGAAGGGCTGGGGCAAGGCCTGGCTCTGGGCTTCGGCTCGGGCCTCGGCTTCGTCCCGGTCGCGCTTCTCTTTCTCCCGGGCGTGCAGCTGATGCAGACCCTGCTCCACCTGTTGCATCAAGGCTTTGTGATCGTTCTGCAGACCTAAAGGAAGAACCCCAAAACTCATCCGCAGCTTAAAACAGGGATGGCAAATCTTTTGGGCTCGGCGTGTCAAAAATTCAGAAAATGCCGAACTCGACTCTGCTGCCATGTCACCCTCCCAAACAAAAGAGAAACAATTCTTTACATGTTTATTTAAAAAAAAAAGACAGTCCAATCCTGTGTGTGCTATGTATTCTATAAGGAAACGTCAGATAATGACAAAAACGAAATACGAGTAGAACAAACTCAGTCTCTTTGGCATCTCAAAGAGGGAGAATAGTTGTTGTCGGGTGCGGGTGAATGCTGGGGTGTCACCCCAAATGTTGTGGCGTGTCACCTTTGACACGCGTGTCACAGGTTCACCCTCACTGGCTTAAAACAAGGCGAGCAGAAGGGAGCAGGAAGCCACCGAGAGATTTCTGGATAAGCAACCATTAGTTGGGTCAGCCAAGCCCAAACTCTACAAATCTAATTTTAATTTTAATTAAAATAATTAATTTTAATTGTTTACATGGTATTACTTTTAACTGTTCATGGGTTTTTGGTTTCAACTGTGAGCCGCCCAAAGTCACCCGTTAGAGGAGATGGGTGGCATACAAATTGAATAAATAAATAAATCTAACCTGTTGGAAATCACCTAACATCACCGATCCCACTTTCAGGCCAGTCTTCCCCCCATTATAACAGCTAAAAATATGATTCTTTTCAAACATCTCCACATTGGCAAGAATGTCAGTATTTCTCACCCTAATCCTCGCTTTCGATAATCGGACGAGACCGCATCACCCAGACGTTTCTAACCCAGGTTTCTTGTTCCTACAAAGATGTTTTGTTGTCTTCAGAGACGGACGGGAGGTTCTCCCCTTTAAACTTCATGGTTTTTTTCCCCTCATCATTTACCCAAATTAGGGTAACGGCGGTATGCAGAAGAATGAGGCGGAAGCCATTGTTAAATAAAGAAATAGGGCGGCCCATCTGCTGAAAATTAAAGACCGGCTGCTTACAGATAATGTTGTGTCTCGCTGTCCGGACTTGATAGATGTCCACGTCCGCCCGAGGGTAGCCTTCAGCGTCCACGAGCGGCTCGCTCATGCCCACCCCTTTTTGCTGCCGATGGGAAACATAAAACAAAGGGACCCTCTCGAGAACTGCTTTTGCAAAGAGCGCAAATGAAGTCACGCGTCATGCGAAGCCATCGCCTGTTGCGCTACGGGTAACCGAACCAACCAACATTGGCCGGGATGGTGAAGGATGCTAAGCTGTAAACGACTGCTAACAAAGCACCGTGGGCAGGTTCGTACCCTATCGCAAGCCAGAACCAACAAACAACGGTATGATTTGGCTTGAGGTATCAAGCTGGCCATAGAGGGCATTGTGTCATAGCAGTGCTTCTCAACCTTGGGAAGTTTAAGATGGGTGGACTTCAACTCCCAGAATTCCCCAGCCAGCCT